TGACTGATATGTGAAAGACAAATATTTATTGAAAAAAGTGACTGTTAATGATAGTTTTTGAATCCCGTAAGATCTCAATATTTGAATACTTGTAGCAGGCATTTTACTACCACCCCTTTTTCTGATAGCCTAATAGCAAATTGTTCCATTGTAGCTGACAACACTAGACCAGAGGACAGTTGAGTGACCTACCCCAGGACACAAGGCTGTACTTGAAAGAGTTAGGATGGAAACTCAGTTTGATCTCAGGTTGTTACTAGTGTTCTTTCTGCTATTGATCCCTGAACTGTTTTCAGAGAGACTCCAGAGTCTCCACCTAATACCAAGGTTAAGAAGGACACGGTTGCTGCAGAAGGATTTGACACAGGGAGTCTATAATCTTCTGGAGACTTCAGTAGTATTCATCTGAGCCAATAGTTGAATCAGATGCCAGAGAGGTTCTTCTGTGTGAATGAGTCATTCATGGCATGACCCTAGCCAGCAGTAGCTCAATGTGACTTTGCCTTCTCTGTCAGTGGCCTAGTAATACTCATAGAAAGATGCCGTGGCAATTGTGTATGCAGCATGCCCAATAGGATCAGCTATACGGCTGTGGAATCAGAAGGCAAAGACTGATAATGAGTTATGTTATGTTTTCTTCAGGGTATTTGCAAATGTTGAGACTTCAAAGATTCTGTATAAGTGAACTTGCAGAATTGTTTGCATTTTAGTCAAATGAGATTTGAATGCCTTGTCTGACATCACAGGAGCTCATATACATGCATGGGCCATGGGCCATAGCTTTGGTCTTGCATTTCCTTTCTGTTGGCCTTTAAACTCACTAGTAGCTTTAGGTGTAAGCCTCTTGACCACCACCACCACTCACACCCACTGCCCAGCCCCGAAGGATTCTGTAAGTTAACCTTTAGAGTAGCAGGTGACATCAATATTCCAGACTGATGTAGTGGGAACCTCAGAGATCTGGAAACAGGTTGAGAAGATGTTTAGCAGCCTGAACAAGGTCATCCTCATCTGGCAACAAGTAGATGTGCGTTTGTAGCATAAGCTGTTATGGTAACTCTGCTTCCTTTGAGCAGGGGAAAAAAAAAACCAACCAAGAAGTCACTAGGATATTTTTTGTTCGCATTTTTGTTTTCTCCGTGTGTGGTTTTTGTTTGTTTGTTTATTTATTTTTTAAGACTCAAATGCCACAGGAAATAAGCAACAAGGGGACAAAATGAAGGATGGTATGAGCCTCAGTTGAGAACTGAGGACTTGGCCTAATTGAGGTTCCTGCTATTTGTGATTTCCAATACCCATTTGTTTTGGGTGTTCCTTCAAACAGAGCTCAATATTTGTGTCTAAAGGCCTTTGGTAAATGCAGAAGTTAACTTTTGATTTTCTACTTCTGGAATGTAGGGACTAGAATAGCCTGACGCTCTCTTGAGTGGTTAGCGCCTTTTTGAAAATCCTTCCAGCATTGACTATGAGACCTTTTTATTTAATCTGAACACTTGCCTTCAGTGGGTAGAGTGAAACCTACTCTGGTTGGTCTTCAATTCCACTTTCCCTCAGCAGATGCAGCCAGAGAAATGTAAACGTCTAAGATTTACCTGAACTATACTGGCGCATCTTGTGGTTTCCCTGTGGTCTTCTCTAGAATTCTGCCAGAGGTACTGAAAGTGTCTAACTGCTTCTCCCAGTGTGTTTCTCAAACTTGCCACCAGCTTGCTGAGAATTGAAAGCTAGCATCCATCCTTAAACATTTCCACTCAATGTGCTCAACTCTGATTTAAGGAGATTGGACTTTGCATTTTGTTCACATGATAATGAACTCACTCATTCTCATTTTGTTTTTGGTGTTCGAAAGAGAGAAGTCAAATCTAATTTAACATTACTATATTATTAGAGACAACTCCTTTCCTTGTTGAAATAGCCTTTTAAAATTAATAATTGTTTAATTTGACATCATTACTTAGAATTTTTTACTACTACTTCACATTTGACATTGGACAAATATAATAAAGGTTCTAATTTATCTTTCTACTCTAAAATACTAAAACTATTTCTATGTAGAGAATATTTTTTACAAAAATAATGAGAATTGAGTTGATAGTGGGACAGACTAAATTGACAATGCAACATCAATATTAACAATTTTTATTTCTATGCATATTTTGTAAAATGCTGTCATACTTTTAAATAACTTAGAGAACTTTAGTTGCAAACTTACATAAGTGGAATTTATACTTGATTATTTTTGAATCATTGTCCAAAGCAACAAGGATAGAATTCTGAGCTTGGGAGGTAATAAAAGTGTCTTAGATATTCTCTTCGGCATAAAGGCAGCATGGTGATTGGTGTGTGATTGGAGGTGATACTCTTTTGTAGATATTACAGAATGGCTTCTGAGCTGTGGATTTACGACACTAACAAATCTCAGGGCTTTCTAGATAGAGATTTGTTTGTATGAATCTGGTTTTGCAGTTGAAAGGAGACATATTTTTATCTGTTGACCTTGTGTTCACATTCCTCCTCAGATACTGCATGCCTCAACTTCTCCATCTGGCAGAAGCCTCTCTTCTCTTCTGTACTTCATTTGGACTCCCAGTCAGTCCGTACTGCATTTCCTTGTTCATGTGCAGATTTCATTTGGTTGTTGGTTAAAATAGTAAATCCTTGTTTTACTGAAAGCTGTGCCCAAAGAGGAACAGTGTTGAGACTGGAGAGATTGCTCTGCAATTGAAAGCACTTGCTGCTCTTACAGAAGACCCTGGAGTGACTCCCACGTAGCTGCTTGTAACTCTAGTGCAGGCCATTATCACCCTCTTCCAGCCTCTGTGAGCAACAGGCATGCATGTGATACAGCTGACATACATGCGGTCAAAACACCTATATACATAATATAAGATAAACATAACATTTTCTTTAAAGTGAGGGACGGTATCATAATCCCTTAATTTTATGCATTATGGTATATTTACATTCATCCTGTTCTTGTATAGAGGAGATCTCTGTTGACTTGGTCCCGTTGTCTTGTCTTATGGACAAAGAAAATTAGTTTTAAAAAGGCAAAAGTAGTTTCTGCTACAGGTAAGAAGTGGTCGTGTGACTAAAGTCAGAACCAGAAATTAGTTCTTTTGATTTGTAGCACTGTTAATTTCCACTTTTCTTTCATCCTTGTTTTCATCCAGTGGGCAAGTATTTATTAAGCTTCTATTCTATCAGCACCCTGGTAAACTGTGATACTACAATGCTGAGCCTGTCGTTGAATTTTTATGTTATAGGGAAAAGATACTAAGACTCCTATGCTAACTATTACACTATAATTCTGAGAAAATGGGTAAGGATGGAAGAGTCTTGAAATTATGGCTTGTAGGCACTCACATTATATTTATATGTACTTTTAAATGCAATTAAATATTTATTATATTTTCCTTCTGTGCTGAGCCCCAAAGAAATGAAAACTTTATGATCACAGCTCCATCACTGTAGTCTAGAAATGAGATAAGTTAAGGCATAATAACCAGCATAGAACAAAATGTTGAAGGTCCATGGTTCAAAGTACACAAAAATTACATTTTTTTGGAGAGACGTATCATAATAGTCATTTGTAAGTAATGACATATGGAACAGCCGCTGAGCAGAATTTCTTTTTAAAAGGTTTAGAAATGAGTAAGAAAGGCCTTCTACATAGAAAGATGACCCTCAGAAAGAACTATAATGAGATAGCCTCCACGTGGCATAGGATTCAGGTGCAGGAATCCAAACTGCCAAGGGTGCTGGTGCTTAACAAGGCAGATTGCCCAGCCTGGGACTGATACAGACAGTGAAACTTGGGGATCTGTTTCCGTGGTTGAAAGACAGAATGGAGCAACACTTTTCAGTGACTTCATCCAGTTGTCTTTGTCAGAGCAGAGCTATTAACAAAGGGGATTTAGGTCCCATGTTTGTTGAACTTCCTAAAACCTTAAGTCAAAATTAGTTATTATTATTGAAAAGAGGCCCTTCCTACTTGAAGACTGAGATCTAGACCGGGCACAACATGGATTGCATATATAAACATTGTTTATTCTTAATACTAGATGGAAAGGATAACTGGCCATGATATAGTCATGATAGCCATTGACCCATCTTGTTTAGAATTTTTATACAAAATCAGAATTGTTTCAATAATTATCAACCATCTGCCTCCATTTTCCAGTTAACTACTATATTAGTGTGTGTTTGTATATTTGTTATGTATGTCTAATTTGCATATATGTCACATTTGGTCAAGCCTAATTTGATTAGTGTTATTAAACAGTCGTGTTTTCTGGCTACTTTGAGGGTAAATGAAAGTTTATTAATAAAATATAAAACATTGTGATTTTAATATTATTGAAAATTTTAAACATCTTTGTCCTTTTCCTGCTAAGTATACTGTAATGAAAATAGCAAGACTCTACTTGATTGCTAAAAAATGGAATGGATTCCTAAACTTGGTACTGTAGAGATGGCAGATACAAATATTCTGTAACATGGGGTATGCCAGACTGGAAGAAGAATTACCGTTAGACTGTTCTCTTGGTAGTGTTTTGGCCCATCTGAAAGTGAACTTCAGGGACCACTCTTAGTGGAGGACTCAGCTTCTATTGATAGAGATCCTCAGGGCCGAGGACAACATGTGTATGACTAGAACAAGTTGTAAGAGTAGAGGGGATAGTACTATGAATTGGAGAATTATGATAATCAGTTAACATACTGGCCTCTTAGCAGGAACTCCCTGCTGTCATGCTGAAAAAGCTTTACACCTGTTACTCCTAATTAGGTTGAACTTCATATTTCCTCTAGAAAGGATGGTTTGGGGTTGGGTTCTCATTAAGAAAAACAAACAAAAATGAAGACACATTATAAACCACTCTGAAAACCAGTTTATGATGATATCGCTTGACTTGTACACTATATGAAGTGTGAATCAAAGACTTGGTAACGCAATGTGAAGAGTATTCAAACAGTTGCCTTTTCCCTCTCTTAAACAGGCTCATGCACAATTAGTCCGAGAGGTTGACGTGGAGAAGGTGTCTGCTTTTGAGAACCCATATGTAGATGCAATAAAGAGCTTGTGGAACGATCCTGGAATCCAAGAGTGCTATGATAGACGACGAGAATATCAGTTATCCGACTCCACTAAATAGTGAGTATCTGCACTGCAGGCCCTGAAAAACTGCCTGCTGCTTCACATGGGAATGTGCTCTGTGACAATGTAGTCTGTGCTGCACATAAGGTAATCAAATCTAAGCGTATAGAAAGTAAACTAATATTTAGGTGTCAAACTTGTCAGTGTACGTTTAGTCATAAGGTACCAAGGTCATATGGTGGAGAATATTTCTAGTTTGTAAAGACAAGTCTCATGTAGCCCAGGTTGGCTTTGAACTCCCAGTACTACCTTCAGCTCTGGAGTACTGTGATAACAGGTATGTATCACTCTGACAATTATGTATCCTAGGACTTCATGCATGGTAGAATGTATTCTACCATTTGAGCTACACCCCCAGTTCTAAGAGTTTTTCTTTCACTGTGTTTTACTTACAAAACAAAAGGAAGACCCTAGTGATCTGATGTTATCACCCTGTTTTCTCTGAGTGATCCACAAATCTATGTACCGTAGGTGGTGGTGGTGGTGGTGGTTGTTTTTGGTCAACTTGACACAAGCTTGGGAACTTCAACTGAGAAAATGCCTCCATCAGTTTGACCTGTAAGCACGCCTGTGAGGCATTTTCTTAATGGCTGATGTGAGAGAGCCTGGGCCACTGTAGGCAGTGCCACCCCTGGGATGGTAGCCATAGTGCTTGATGTAAGAAAGCAGGGTAAGCAAACTTTGGAGAGCAAGCCAGTACACAGTGCTCCTTCATGGCCTTGCTCCCGAGTCTCTGGTTCAGTGAGGGACTGTTACCTGGATGTATAAGATGAAATAAACACTTTCCCTCCCAGGTTACATTTGGTCATGGTCTTTATCACAGCAATAGGAAAACAAACAAACAAGTGAAGACAACTTGAAATCTTGCAGGTTTTTTTAAATTAAAATTCTGATCTTAGCTTTGGGAGACAGAACACATGCATAGATTAGAAATTACAGATAAAAATGTGTTTGATCGTGGCTTCCCAAAACATAAGACTCTCAGATTTCTAATTCTCAGACCTTTATCTGCTTTCAAAGAACCATTGTTGATGGGTGGGTTTTCTTTTGCAGAAAAACTATGAGTTTTAATTTTGAATGCATTCCAAAATTATTGTGTGAGCTGCCAGTCAATCTCGTGTCCTGGGAAAGATTTGCATCCAAGAGAGATCTGTTAATTCTGTCTTCAGATGTGCATAACAGAAATGAAGTTCAGCACGGGGTTAATAGAAACCCTTTGTAGCTAGTGATCTAGATAACTACAGTCTGGAAAAATGTTGGTTGTTGTTTTTGAATTTTTTAGTTATCTAGTCAAATTTCTGTCTACATTAATTATGTAAATCTGTCATTCCCCTCTCGTTTTGGTCTGGATAGACACAAGAAAGGGTAGGAAATATTCCACAGCCTTAAGCCAGCCCCTATTATAGAGTGACCCAGTGGCTCAGAGCAAAATGAGAGGCCCGAGTGTCTGATCGATGGTGCCCCTCAGTCATGCTTGGGAGGCCCAGGGCTGTGCATTCTTCTTATAGTGAAGTTACATTTCTGCCTTTCCAGGCATTTGCATAAGACTAAATTATGGTCCAAATCAGCCATAGAAATGTTGCCTGAATAAAGTACTTGCACATTATCTGGTAGTTTGGCTCATGTCATTCTCGACTGACAGCAGCATTCCATCTGTCCTGTTTAACATGCACTCCAGTGTGTGCAGTCAACTGGCGTGTGCTGCTACTGTCTGTTCTTCCCTCCCAGCCCTTCGTCCACATCACCATTCAGGTTCTGGACCTTTCCACCTGCCCTACTCCCCTCTTTTTTGACTCCCTCTTCATTCCCTTTGTGTAAGTTTTCGTGAGTTGAGTACATGAATAGAAAACCTGTATTCGTCTCTTGTCTATTCCAAAATTCTGCCTCCTCTACCTTTGACCAGCTGTCTGTCTTTTACTTCCTGCCTCCTCTGTCCTTCTGTTTCCTTTGCCATTTCAAATTTCATCAGTCTCCCTGTGTTGCTGCTGTGTTTATCCACCCTCCCCTGTTCCTGTTCATTATGTCTCATCCTCCTGTTGTTTACCCCTCCACACTCATTGTGATTCTCAGCTTCTCCCTTCCCTCCCTTCTGCCCCTCATTTGCTAACGAGATCCTGTTTCTAAGTAATGCTCTATGATTTCTCCCTTCCCTCCTCTCTAGCCTCCCTCTCTCCCCCTCTTCTCCTTCCCTTTTCTAGTACTAGAGATTGAACCTAGAACCTTCTGCATGTGCAACAAGCACTCTACCACTGAGCCCAAGCCAACCTCTGTCGTGCTTATTTTATGTTACCTCTTCCCTTTCTACCCCTTTCATTCTTTACCCATCATCTATAATTACGATTTTGCTTAGAGAGAGGCCTTGCTATCAGAGTCAAAACTCCAGTATCTGATAGCTATGTGTCTGCTAGTGTCATGCCTGTCCATAAAGAACCTAGTTTGCCCCCTGACCCCTGGCATTTGCCTTTTGCTTGGAACTGTTGACTTCCATGGATGTGCTTGAGACAGCCTCTGTTATCTCTCGTGACATTTTCCCAGTGATATTTGTGAATTTTGAGGCGTGTACCCATTACTTAATGGTGAATTTGTATATTTCTGTAATGTTTGTTGTAGGCTGAGAGCTGTCTTGGGCAGTTTCTCCACCTCAGAAAGCAACCACCATAAAATTCTGTCAGCATAAACTGAGTCCAGCATAGAAATTGACCTGCTGGTTGTACAGAGCTGATATGGATGTGGGGTCCTTGGCACTAGCTGACTTAAGTCCCCTAACTGATATTTCTTTATTTGTTCTTACTTAGGGATAAGTTGATTTTCTAAATTGCATTTATATGAGTGCATATACCTATTTTAGATGATTTTTTTTTGCTGAAATAATACAGAAATTGTAACATCCTGTATACCACTAGATATTTCATTATGCTTATCTTTGTAAAAAAAATGGATATTTTCCTATATAGTTAATAATGGCCATACATTATACCTAAAGCCAATAATAAGTTCATGTTCAGATTCTTCTGGTTCTTCTAAAATGCCATTCAGATGTGGTTAATTTTAGGAATACACATTGCATCTGGTAGCTATATCTCTACCCTCATAGAGAGACCTGTTTTACATTTCACTGGCATGCTCAAGAGTGTCCTGGATTTCCTGATTGTTTCTTTGTACATTTTGTTTTGTTTTGTTTTCAAGACAGAGTTTGTCTGTAGCTTTGGAGCCTGTCCTGGAACTAGCTCTTCTAAACAAGGTTGGCCTTGAACTCAGAGATCCGCCTACCTCAGTCTCCCTGCTGGTGTTAAAGGTGTGTGCCACTGCTGCCGAGCTTCTTTGTACAATTTAACTTGCTTCTTTTTCACAAGGATTTATTATGCACAGAAGTTAAAGTGAGCAGTGGGACTGGAGTATTTTATAAACCACTTGGTGTGATACATATTATTGATGTTTGTTGGTGATGTGTCTAAGTTGTTTCACACTATCAGGTTAAGAGAGAATAAATGGGCTAAGCTTACTAGAAAACAAATCCAGAGGATTTTGGTCATTATCATTAAAATGTAGTCGTGTCTCACTAAGTATCTGTTACTCATGCTAACACAGACTAAATCTAAGTCTTGGATAATTCATAAATATTTGTATAAATTTTAGTCTACAGTTTTATTTGTTATTGTTAATTTTTTTTTTTTTTTTTTTTTTTTTTTTTTTTTTGCATTTTGAGACAAGGTTTCTCTGTGTAGCCTTTGTTGGCCAGGAACTCATTCTATAGACCAGGCTGGCCTCAAACTCAGAGATCTGTCCTCCTCTGCTTCCTGAGTGCTGGAATTAAAAGACTACACCACCATGCCTGGCTTAGACTACACTATTAGCCCCCCGCCCCCATACTTCATCTTCCATTCCATCCAATCACTTTTTACAGGAGCTGACTAAGGACACTATAAATCTGATTTGTACCTACTCGTTATCCAAATAAACAATTATGCCTCAAAGGACAAATAGTGGGAGAAAGGAAGAGATGAGAAATTTCAGGAAATAGATAAACACTTTGGATAGGTTTACAAATGGTCCAGATTTGATGCATTCTCCAGTTCTGTAGAATGATCTCGTTAAAAGCATCCTAAGATTTTGGAGAATTTTTAAAATTATTTTACTAACTTTTTCATTATTGATAAAAAGCCTGAAGGCTCTGAGTATCTTTAGAAAAAGAACACAATAAACAGATGGCTGTAGGTTTTCTTCTCCTTTTTTTCTGGGGTTCACCACCTGCTTTAATATACTGAGACATCAGGTCAAATGAGTTCACTGCCTACAGAACCAGAAGTTCCCTGACACTAGCCACAGAACACAAATCTCAGTCACATTGAGTATAGTGAAAAAGTCCCCATGTTGCAACCTTAGACCAAAGACTATACTGTATCTGGGTTTGCTTTAATCTTACTTTACTAGAGCCCCCCCCCGGGGGGGGGAGTCAGACAGCATTTAAAGAGTCCATGTAGTCCAGAGCAGTAAGTGCATGAAGAAATTGGCCCTTTGGTACGCATCTGCACTGGAATTTGCTTTGATTATGGCCCTGAATTGATATACCATCCATTATTATGTTGATATCCCATCCATCTGACTTAGAGCCAAATTCTTGAGTAAGGGTTCCTTCTAAGAAATTATTACTGAGTAATATTTTGAATACTTGTACTCCTGGGGGTGGGGTGTGGCTCTTCTGGCCATCCTGACACGACCCCCCTTCTTGAAGGAAAGAAACCGCACGGTATGGTGAGACTTGTGGGCAAGTATCCAGCTGTAGGTCCAGTTCCCTCTACTGCTCATCACTTTCTGCAGCTTGCAGTAAAGCCTCAGTCTCCCCAGGCGTAGTGGGTGAAATTTAATGCTTAAATTAATTTCTGATTTTTGAGTATTTTGGGATTCCATTATACTCGACTGCCCTTATTGAGAAATAATTAGCCTTTGCAATCAAGCAAAATTTAGGACCCTCAAATTAACATGTGTGATTTATGTGA